TGATAAGCTTCACTCTAAAAACTAGGCAAGCACAGAAATTAGGCGGAATAACAGTGACAAATATCAATGAAGCGTAAAACTTGCAAATTAGGCAGAAGTTCTATCAAAGAATTGCCTTGAGGTGAGATGGGTGGCAAATAAATCAAATAAGTAAATAAAATAAAGGGGATATTTGTGTGGGGGGGCATTATTTCTGTATGTGTTCTATAAATCAACATTTTTTTCTGAGAGTTTGGTCATCAAAAGTAAGGGTCAAATAGCTATCATCTTCATTTACAATTTCCACAAAGCCAAGAATTGTGTTTTGCTGAGTGAATGTGCACTTACATGTCATTCATTTGTACTGAATTTGTGTCCATAAGAATAATTAAAGCTGAGGAAATGTCAACGTTGTCATTATTCCTTTTTGTCTTCCGGAATGGATTTTCAAGCTTGTTGGAAGTGAGCACCAAAGGCTTCAAATCCCCTTACCACTTTTCTTTTACATCTCATTTTAGCACTCCATTTTGATTTTGTAGCCTGCAGAAATATAGTTTTATGCATGCAAATGATATCAAGTTAATGCCAACAACATATTGTACAGCTTTCCCTGCACCTCTGGATAAATATAACACCACAGTGCTTTGTTATGTGTGAATGTGCATTTTTTTTAAAAACCTACTCTGATCTCTGACACCTGTCATCCCCACAGATTTGAACCACTGTCCTCAGGAGTGAAAGATCTAATTAACACAAGGCTGTGGTGTCATGACAATAGCTTGCTTTCACAGTATTTTGAGAAGTACCACAGTTCTTTCAACTCAGTTAAAGCCTGAGTTTTTATATGAATAAGAAGCATTTTGTATTTTTCCCTTGTGAAAATACTAAAATTCCTTTTAATTTTTTTTTAAAACATGGCAAAATAATTGAATTACATAAAGGCAAATAAATCTAGCCTGCAGAGAATCATATCTTTATATAAAAATGTCTTAAGTTCTTTGATAAAAAACATATTATTTGAAAAAAAGCAAGAATTTTTTTTGTCCTAGCTATAATCCAAGAAAAGGATAAATAGATATTCTCTCAGGGACTATATATATTAAAGTGTTTTAAACTACATTTTAAGAGCAACAGTTCTCTGTATAGCATATAAATTGTATGCTTCACTATTCAGATAGCATTCATCTTGCTCCTAATAATAAATAGGTCAATATTGGCATTGCAATAATTAAAAACAAGGTGCTGATTGATTTGATTGATTCATTTTAATGAGGTTCCATAGATACCATTTATTTCAATAAATTTTGTTAATAATTCTATTTTTATGTCAACACCTGATGAAATTCTGTAATACTCTTTAACATACCGGTATGTTGAGGTATATAGCTCTTGTGTCTGATTCAGGTGGAAATAATGCATGAAGTTTTAACTTTCTGATCACCATTTAAGATTCATGAAACTTAAAATCAATACTAGTCTTCTGAACCAGCATGGTTCAAATATTTTGGACATCTCTCATAATCTCCATCTAATATAGAATCCTAGAATGTATGGGTATAAATTTGGAATAAAATCATTGCAAATCATTTGGAATCAACACAGAGCAGGAATCAACATTATTTCTGTATTCCTGACAAGTACCTATTGAGCCCCTGCTAAAATACATTAAAGGAAATCCATAATTTCCCAAAGCAATCTATTCACTATGTTGTTGGAGATTACCAGGCTGAGCCTGAAGAAGGGCTCAAATGTCATGAGTCCTTATGTGCCCACAAGAGATCTAAGTCAAGCCCATCTTGAATTCCTTCTACACTTCCCCCGCTAATTTCCCTTGTCCATTATAGTTCAGATTCTTATAGAGAGATTAAGCTTGCAATAAAGCTTTATACCCATTTGAACTGTCTGTATTTCTTGATTTTTCTTGATTTTGACATATATTAGTATATGTCTAAAATTTGCTTCCTTATAATGTAAAACTACTGTTTCTTGTTTTGTCTTCTGGAGTAAAGCCGAACAACTGTATCCCATCTTCTATATGATAGTCCTTCCGATACTTGAAGAATTTGTGATGCCTCCTTGTACTGTTCTCCAGATTAAATGTACCAAGTATTTTCAACCAATTCTTATAGGCTTTTTCCTTCCTTACCATCTTGGTTGCTTTCCTCTGGATTTGCTCTATTTTGTTAGTTAAATGTCTTACTTATTTAAGAAAATTTATATGGTCGCTCAACTCCTTCTTAGTGACTCTTGAGATAAAACCCTAATTAAAAAAAATAATAACCCATCATGTGATCAAAATATATTATGTCCACTGTACTTCTATGGTCACCTAATATGGTCACTCTGTCAAACAAGAAGATAACTCATACCTATTAAATCCATGCTGGAATATTCAGAGCAATTCTTTTCTAAATGTTCACAAATTGATTACTTAGTAATCTGTTCCAGACTTTTGATTAGTATCAAAATCAAGATAAGCAGTCACATCTACCCAGTTCTACCCTTTTCAGTCAGTCAGGGGTTATATTTGCTTTCTCCAGCTGTGCTCCTTCTTCCAATTTTTTTTCTCAAAGAATTTAATTCTGGCCTTGAGAAGGAAGTAGAAGTGGGAGAAGAAAGTAGTTCCCTTGGCCTTGGGAAGAAAGTGTGAGGATTTGGCAGGCTTTTATCAATATTCTACAAGTTTAATATTCATTCTACAATGAGATCTCTCCTAGAATGGTGATGAAATGTTTGCAACCAAATTACCAAGCTCGGAGCTCAAGCCAACAGCCCATAAAGTACCTTTCCTGGAATATCAGTTTCTTGAACTGCATTGCCTCAAAGGGTTGAAAGTTTCTGAAAGGAGCTTCAAATTATGTCTGCAAGATTCTGCAAGAATCTTGGTTGTGACTTATCTTGTCCTAACAATTAACACAAGGTAATATGAATGACTGTTACCACTTTAAGAGTCTGTATTATGAGATAGGCCCTGTTGGGGCCTATCTCTCTCTCTCTCTCCATGTGTGCTTCTGCACTATAAATTGCTGATTGACTGTTTGACTTTTGCCTAGTATGTGTATGTATGTATTCTGTACTCATAAACCACTATCTATTATTACAAACCTCTGTTTGATGTTATTGCTCCTGGGTTGTCTCACATAGTTACATTGTGTGCACTCTGACAGGGGGAGAAGCTCTATTTTGCCCCTGTCGTCTCTTTATATTTTTTCTTTTATTTTGGACAAAAATGAAAAAAATGCACCTTTGCCTATTGTTGTTGCTGTTGTTGTTACTTTTCTTATGAAACCAGTTTTCTTCTGCAATAGAGCTTGATTCCCCCCCAGATACTAGCTATTTACATCTCCTTAAAGGAGATGTGGAGAAGATGGTGATGAGGTAGCACTTCACTGCAGACAGTTCCTTGATGACCATACTCTTATCTTTTCCTATATATGCATATTTTAACTCTTAACTCAGTTGAAAGCCCTTTGTGGTTTCCTAAGTTGTCTCCTAATTAGTTTTTCTTAATAAAAAGGAGTTCAATTGTATTTCCAGTGTCTTCTTTTTGATGTTCTCAATTGTTTCACTTCAGGATTTCTGCTCTGGTACTTCCCTAAGCTTATTGAAATTTTTCTCCTCTAAAATTTGATGATGGCCCTATTTTCTTTCCTTTTACCTTTTTAACCAACTCTTCCTTATTGATTTCTATCAGATCCATTTCTTGTCCCTTCTTAAACTTTCTGACAAATAAAATAGTCAGCAAGGCCACTGAGGAATATGGGGAACTCTCAGTCTCACTTTAGTTTTCCAATACATATTCAGATAATTGAAATCTGCCACTGTTGCTAAATCTCTAATTTCTGAGTGTCATATGCTTCAGGAGAGTTTTATTCAGACCATGTGCCTTGCTTAACAGTATGTGTGTGTGTGTGTGTGTGTGTATGTATGTATGTATATATATGTGTGTGTGTACACACACACACATATACATACATACATACATACATACATACATACACATACGTATTTATTTAATGCATCAACTCTTACTATTAGAGTGACTTTGGATGGCAGACAGTAATAATATTGCTATTTGCCTACCTTGCATTCTTATCCAAATATATGGTCAACACATTTCTAAGGCACAAAACTGGAGAGTGGGGTAGGAATTGAACTATTTTTCTTTGAGCTTAAATTCTCTTCCTCCCCCCTCCCCCCATTTAAACTACTGTTTTTGCAAACTTTGTTTTGTAATATAACGTGAGCATTTCTATAGTGAATTATGTATGATGGGTGGAAAAGGCTATATTATTTCATACAGGTATGTGTTTTGAATACCCTGTTTTCTTAATTGCTGGAATTATACAAATGTACTGCAATCCTAGTTGATTTAAACTGTTGGAGACAACATATTGCTATCCCATTGTTCTGTGAAAAATAAAATAAAAGTCTGAACACAAGATCTTTGCAAAGCACCAGATGCATGTCTCTTCTTCAATTATTGCCTGCAGGATGGTGTACTAGTTCTCTCTCTTTTTTAATTCTTGAATTTATAACGTTTTTGTCATTTGCTGGGCAAGAATTCATTTAGCAACTAATGAATGGGGAGGTAGATTTTTCTTTCTCCATTTGATAGAGGCTTGCAATTTACTTCCATTGTTTGTCACTAGCTTCATCTTGCCATTTTTCTCTTACATCGTTTTCCCCCCTTCTCTTTCTTTTTAAACTGCATTACATTTTTTATTGAGGACCAAGATGAACTGGTCCCTGCATCATTGGACCCATTACACTTCCTAACAATTCCATTTACACCTTATTGTTTGTCTTATTGCTGGAAAATTCAGGTGATTCATCATGCCTGGGAAAGCACCTGATCCCATTTCCCTTGATATCGCAATCACTATGTGACAGGAATACTATAAGCGTTGCCTTTCAACCTACCTAACAGGCTAAGGTGATACGTCTTTGGGGATTTTTAGCCTCTAGTGTATTGATGAGATCCATTTTTGTAATGCTATTTTCTTGCTTCTTTTCAACAGCCCTCTGAGTGAAGAAAAAGGTTTGGACTTAATAAAGGAAGTTGCTGGTCTTCTGAAGCTCCAGATGACAGCATTTGCTGATATCAAGTATGTGCAGTAGAAATCTTTCCCTTAATGTCTCCTTTTCCTAAATTTCTACACCAATATGGAATTTGTCTTGTGATGTGACAGTCAAAAAACAAACCGAAGTACAACCCCTTCAGTGATTCTATTGTCTTGAGATAGCTTGTCAGATTAAAAATGATGTAAAAGAGGAAAAACATGTGAGGATTATTCAGTCAAATCACTAGCAGTTGGTTCAAGAAAGCATTCAACCTTATAGATTTACCCATGAGAACTAAACATGCAAAAAGTTTAATTCAAAGGTAGGGTATACGTCTAAAGTATCTGTCAGTATATTCTATGTTCCTTCTATTTGGTGGGATTTGGGAAGTAGTACATCGGTTTGCAAAATAGGCTGTATATTAAAGGTCCTAATTGCTTAAAATGATGTGAGCATTCTTGGAATAGAACCAAACTTTATTTGCATTTCTAGGATACTGGCCAAAATGCATCAGAATAACAAGTATTGTCTTTAACATTGTTATGAAATGCTGCTTGTAGCATCACTACAACTACATCTGGTAACTTAGTATTCACTTTGTATTAATAAACAGCATTATATGAAAGCCTTCATCAACCAAAGCCTTGATGAACAGCAGAAATCCATATGGAATATGATGGAATATCATATTAGTCAGAATTTATTTGAAGATGGAATATGATATGATTGAGGAAGAGACATTCCTGCTTAAAAGCATGACTTCTTATTTAATTTTTAAATTTATAAGGCTGCCCCATTCAAACAGCATAGCTTTGGTTGGTGAATAAAACAAACAAACAAACAATAAACTTACATCATTATATGCAGTATATTACATGTATACAGTGTATAAATACAAAATATCAAAAAAGGAATCCTAACAACATAACTAATGAAAAATAGATACGTTGTATGTCTGTGAAAGAGAAAGGATAAAAATGCAATAAATATGAATAAATAATGTAATGTTGTAAAATTAAGTAGATGCAGTGAGATGAAGGTGTAGGTTAATTATGTATAAGAGGCAATAATATATATGTCAGTAAATATGAATTGATATTGTCTTGATTATTATGGATAGTTATGAAAATAGGAATTCATTAGTTGGTGATAGTTGTGTGCTACGCTCTAGTGAATGGTAATAATAAAAAAAACTAAGTATGAGTTTTTGGAAAAATTATGAACATAATATAGGTGATTGGGGTATGGTATTAAAAACCATAAATATATGGTAGAGATAGAGAATATATAAAAATAAGTCATTTGGAAAATAAAAAATGAATACTAAGTGATTGCTTAGTGAGTATCTATTTTTGAAATGTATTTTGTTTTGAATATGTGTTTTAAGAATATGTTTATTCATAAGTATGCATGGCAAATAAATTAATATTAAGCTAAAAGCATGATTGACTTGATTGTCTGATAAAAGACTAAAATAAGAATGTAGAATCTGAGAGGCATGGAAGGTTCTTGATATGAAATAGTTATTCTGAGTGTCAGGAGTGCATCTTAATGGAAACAGACATGAAAGAAAAGGGAAAAAAATAAAACTGAAGAAAAGTAATGACTACAGTAAAAGAAATTAAGGAATCCTGTATGAAAAAGTACTAGAAGATAAATTGATTTCCCTTGAGAATGAATGGAAAGTAGATATAAGAAAAGGGAATGTAAAAGCTTCTTGGAACAGAATGAAAAGAATAACATAGCAGGGTGCCTCCAAAACGTGTGGAATTAAGAGGAAATTTAAAAAAGGATGCTAGACAAAATAATAATGGGAAAGAGGCTGATGATGAAGAAGAAATTTATGTAAGAAAAAATGTTGAAAAAAATATGGGAAAAATGTATAAATACATATAGCAAAAAAAATGCAAGTCAGAAAGGAAGGAAGAATTAAGAATAAAAGAAACCGAAAATACAAAGCAATTTTAATGGAAATAATAATAAAAAAATACTTTGAAATTGTGTGGAAATAACCAAACAAGGAGGCTCCAGCAGAGTGAATGGAATTCAAAATAAAAGCAATGATACGATTTAGGGAGGGAATGTGAGTGAATGCTGGAAGGAATGATCTGTCTGTCTGTCTGTCTGTCTGTCTGTCTGTCTGTCTGTCTGTCTGTCTGTCTATCTATCTATCTATCTATCTATCTATCTATCTATCTATCTATCTATCTATCATCTATCATCTATTTCTGGAGTGACTTCCAGTTCTTGTACAGATTGTAATGGAATGATAGCGTTACATATAAAAATGCTATAAATATTAGTGTCTAAGAAAATCTTGATGAAAAATAAGTCATAAATGCTGTTAGAATATTGAAAAATGGTAAGATGCAAAGTAGGGATAGTGGCAGTATATTAAAAAAAGATCTGATTTGCTCAGGGAGTGTCAATACTATGGAACTTCTGGAACAAGCTCCCCGTGGAGATTCGGACCCTCACTACCCTTCAGGCTTTCCGCAAAGCCCTTAAAACCTGGCTGTTCCGACAGGCCTGGGGCTGATGAGTTCCCATCCCCGCTCGAATTGTGTGGCTGTTGATTGTTTTTAAATTGTTGTGTTGTTTGTCCATTGTCTTTTTTTTCCTGCTTGTATCCCCCCCCTTACTTGGTTTGTGAGCCGCCCTGAGTCCCTCTGGGAATAGGGCGGCATAGAAATACAATAAAATCAAAACTTGCTTAATGTCTTAGTGAAGGCAATTATTGTTCCTCTATATCAGGGGTATATCAGGGTTGTTTTGGACCTTGTGGGGCCAGGGTGGGCATAACCAAGGTGGGCCTGAGCCTCTGCCACTGAAAACGAAACTTGGGAGGGCTGTCCAGGCCTCATTTTTGGCTGTGATGGTCTCCTGTAACTCTCTGGCAGTGAAAACAGAGTTTGTTTGAGGCCGGTTCTTCACTGTTTCCAGGGTGGCCCTGTGGGCCAGATATAAGCACCCTGCAGGTGGGATCCAGCCCCCGGGCCTTGAGTTGGCATTCATGCCCTATATAAAGATGAAGTAGCAAAAATAAAAGCAAAAGGAATAAACAGATATTGACAAAGATTCTCAGCCATCCAGGTGTCTGGAAGTTGAGTCATGGAAGCTGGATTTATTTCCCCAATGGTTTGAGACATTTCGCTGCCTATCCAGGCAACTTCTTCACTCTGAATAAAATGCTAGGGGAATCTGAATAGGCAGAGAGCTGTTGGAATGTACCAGCTCCTAAAATTCTTAGGTTTATTCCCACATGAACCTCTGGGTATCTTCCTCAAAATGTGTGACAATATGTTGATAAAAATTCTCATTCATCCACATACACAATTGTCTGAAATTTGAGACATGGATTTATCTTCTTGTTGGTTTGAGTTGCTTATTTGGGGAAGAGATCATGAGGTTTGTGTGGGAATACCTCTAAGAATTTTGGCAGTTGGTACATTCCAACGACTATCTGATTGCCCTAACCAGCTTGCTCAGACTGAAGAAGCTACTTGGATGGAAAGCGAAATGTCTCATATCAACAAGAAAACAAGTCCAATTGCCATGATTCCACTTCCAGACACAGGATTTTTTAATGTGCCTGGTAGGGTATTTGACATAACTCTGATCAAGGGCAGCCAAATTTGGGAAGGCTAGTGTCACTATACTGAGTAGTGTGGATAAGCAGATCAGCGATAGTCAATATGGCTCTAAGTTCATGCTTCAATATGCTAGACCCCAATTAAAATACAGAAAAAAACATTTTGTTGTTGTTAGTTGCAAAGTTGTGTCCAACCCATCATGACCCCTTGGACAACGTTCCTCCAGACCTTCCTGTCCTCTATCATCCTCTGTAGTCCATTTACGCTCTTGCTGACTACTTTGATAATTCCATCCAGCCACCTCATTCTTTGTCATCCCCTTCTTCTTTTGCCCTTTATCTTTCCCAGCATTATGCTCTTCTCCAGTGAGTCCTTCCTTCTCATTAGGTGGCCAAAGTATTTGAGTTTCATCTTCAGGATTTGGCCTTCTAAAGAGGGTTGAACTCCTCTAGGACTGAACGGTTTGATCGTCTTGCAGTTCAAGAGACTCGCAGGAGTTTTCTCCAACACCATAGTTCAAAGGCCTCAACTCTTTGGTGCTCAGCCTTTCTTATGGTCCAAAACCATTTAATTTATGATTAATTTAGAATGCTCCAAGATTAAAAAAATATTTCTTTTTACAAGAGAGGAAACATAGAATTTATATTTCTTTTTATAGTTTATACAATAAAGATTCTTCAAAGTAAATCATCACATCATGAAAAAATAGATATTCAATAATAATATAACAACAACAATAATAATAGTAATTGAAGAGCTGAAGCAGAGGGTTGTTGCCGTTGCTGAAAAGATTAAAAGGTATGAAAACTGA